ATAAATGCCATTCTCCTTGTAAGAATGAGCCGCTGTCTTTGTCTTCATTTACATCCTTAGCCCATTTTGCCCGGATTTGAGAAGTGTTGTAACATCGAACCGGTTATTCAATACAAAGTGGTCAGCCCTGAGGTCATACACACACACAGGTAACATTTACACACACACACACACACACACACACACAGGTACCCATGCTCACATTTAGTCACGTGAGTACCAGGGCAACTAAATGAAAATCAGAGAACAATTTGCAGAAAGTGTTTCTCTCCTTCTACCATGTGGGTTTCAGGGATCAAACACGGATACGGATCATCAAGCCCAACAGTAATAGCATTCATCTGTTTAATCACCTTGCTGTAGATAAACTTAGCATCACACTAAAGCTGGGTGTGGTGGCACATGCCTATAATCCTAGCATTCGGGGAAGTGGAGGCAGGAGGATCAAGAGTTCAAGGTTATCCTCAACTACACAGTGAGAGGACTGCCGGGCTATGTGAAATCTGCTCTTGCAGAGGGCCAAGGTTCAGTTCTCAGCATGGATATTAGGTGGTTCAGTCACCTATATAACTCCAGCTCCAGGGAACCCAACAATCTCTTCTGGCCTCCACAGGCACCTGCTCTCATGTGCACATATTCACACACAGATAAGCATAAGTACACATAATTAAAAATAAAGTTAAAAAACAGACAAAAATCAGGGAATGTGAGTTTGGAGAATATAGATTTGAATATACAGGCAATGAGGGCCAAAGTTTTTTTTTTTTTAAACAGGAAAACAATATACAAAACAGCACACAGGATGAAGCGAAGAGAATATGAAGGCACAGGACTGAAGGCAAAGAAAGCAGGAGAGAATTACTGCAAAAAATGTAAGGCAATCAAAGCAAAACGCATCACATACATGCATACCAACATCGAAGCAAAACCTAATGCTTACGTAATTAAGACATGCTAGTAAAAACACTTTTCAAAGGGCAGCAAAAGCATAAAAACAATGGAGAGCAGAAGTGAAAACAATAAAATAAAGGGCAGTAGATACAATTCAGGAACTAACTGAATACATGGATGAGGTGAGCTAGCACCCTGTGCAAGCTGTAGTCAAGCCTGCAGTGGTCTGTTAAGTGTTGCAGGAGAAAAACCGGTTTGGCTCAGTTATCTTGAAGTCCTTCAGGGAATCCACTTGTCAAACAGAAAAGTCAACATGCCCAGGTTCCAGAACACAGGGGATGCAGTAGTCTTCCATAGAGGAGGTGATTGCTAAGTGGAGAACTCAATAAGATGATACTACTGTGTGCCAAGCACTTACACAAGCAACTCTGTGAATCTTCACAACCTTCTGAAGCAAATTTGTGTGTCCATTTCACAAATGGCTCCAGTGGCGCTCAGAGAATGAAGTCACCTGTTCAAGACCCTAACTAGTGAGGGAGCAAAGGCCCAGGAGGCACTGCATTCTTTCTAGTGTGCTCACAGCAAGTATTAAAACGCCTTCTAGTTTCCTTCCAGGTCCTCCTCAAATCCTGCACACTATAGACTGAGGAGCCTGGGGTGTTTGAGGCCAGCCTGAGCTTCATAAGGAGACACTGCCCCAAAAAAGAAAAACACCACCAACAACAAAAAATAAGTTAGGTAAAGTAGGACTATTAGAGGCACGAAGATTGGGAGCCTAAGGTTATCCTTAACTACATATGGTGCTGGAGGCCAGCCTAAGCTACATGAGACTCTGCCTCAAAAATCAAAAAAACAAAAAAAAAAAAAAAAACAAATAAACGGACTAAAAAAAGACTTAGGTGAGGACAAGAAATTAATCCAAATCTTACAGTCCTTACAAAATTATAAAACACCTTAACCTAGAAAAATTTCGCTACCTAAATTAGCAGTGCAAAAGCACGCTTAGGAAGTATTCCTATTTATGCATCAGCCTGAGGATTGCTACAGAAGCAGAGTTTGCATGCACAGCTGAGTCTCAAAGGTAACTATCAATAGAAAAGCAGATTTTATTCACTTTTCAATGATCACTACCTCTGAATCGAAATTCTAAGACAATTATGGCAAAACCACAACAAAATGTATGTAATTGAATGGTATACATACACAAACATAACCTTCTCACTTTCCAGGCATTAATGTTTCCATTGAGGACAAAATATTCAGTCACACTTTAAAGCAGTGATGTCATCCTTTCAAAGTTCATCCACAGCTTCTCTCCACTCATCACAATTACATACATGTCAGTCATTATCCGATTGGAAATTTCTGTATCCCCACCAAAGTTAATTATTTTTAGAAAGAAAGAGTCTGATCACGCAATCTGTGGACTGCAAGGAGTTCACGGTGGGAAGCAGAAAGACAACAGAAGTTTAACAACTGCTCCGCAGAAATGACAATCTAGGACATTCATGAAGCACGCTACGGGATCCACTCAAGCCTTTGCTGAGCGGCTGCTATGTTCTCAACTTGCTGGAGAGGGACAAGCAAAGAGCGCCTCACTCGAAGCCCACTGTCAAGGGCTCCACAGACCCAGCAATGCTTCCAGGACCCCATGGGGAAGGGAGCTGAGGCTGGGGAGCAAGAGGGAGCCCAACCGCAACGTGGCAGAAAGGCTTCAACAACACAGGAGTAAGCGGCTGTTTGGTTCTGTTTGGGTTTGAGACAAGTTCTCACTATGCATCCCAGATCAAAGCTGCAATCCTGCCTCAACGTACTAGGAGTACAGGCATGCTCCACTACAACACCCCCAGCGTTAGCAATGTTTTCAAGAGGAAAAACTTCAACAGCATAGCCTTGCTTTTCAGCTCCTTAGGAGACGGTTATACTGGAAAGCTAAATCCAAATCAGAAGGTAAATGCTGGGAAGAAAAACCAAGACGGCCAGAGAAGGCCCCATAGGGATGTCCGTCACAAGACTTCACTTAGCGATCGGTTTGACTACTAGATTTGTGAAAAGTAACTCCTTTCTAATAAATTTTTGTAAAAAATTAACATTTATGATGTAACTGACCTGACAATGCAGCAAAGTAAAATAATTTTTAAAGAACTAAGGAAGCTGGCAAATGTAAGAAGGTACTTTTACCTAGAAGGAAATGAGGGGGCATGGAGAGGCTTCAGTGGGTTAAGGCACACGAGGCCAGGCTGATAGCCTGAGTTCTCTCCTTGGGACCCACAAGGTGGAATAAGAGAAGCAACTCCCAAAAGTTATCCTTCGACTTCCACACTTGTGACATGTGACTGTATGTGTGTGTGGCGCGTGCACATACACACACACACTTTGTCTTGGTCTCTCCACAGGTGCTCTGAGGCTGTGCACACACCCCCACACACGTAAATGAGTGCTTGGTTTTTTTTATTTTTTCGAGACAGAGTTTCTCTTTTGGAGGCTGTCCTGGAACTCACTCTGTAGACCAGGCTGGCCTCGAACTCACAGAGATCCGCCTGCCTCTGCCTCCTGAGTGCTGGAATTAAAGGCATGCGCCATCAAAGCCCGGCTGTTTTTTGGGGTTTTTTTGTTTTGTTTTGTTTTTTGTTTTTTTAAGAGTAAAAATTGACACATTTTCAGGGCTTTTGTATTAAGAGCCTTTTAGCCCATTCAACATAATTTTTTTTTTTTGGTTTTTCGAGACAGGGATTCTTTGTAGCTTTGGAGGCTGTCCTGGAACTAGCTCTTGTAGACCAGGCTGGCCTCGAACTCACAGAGATCCACCTGCCTCTGCTGGGATTGAAGGCGTGCGTCACCAATGCCCGGCCATTTAACATAATTTTAAAGCCATCTTTATTTTTTTAAACGATATTCATTGACTAGGCTTATTCATGCCACACACCAGTTTCGTCTGGGGGAGGACGATTACATGTGCTTTCCAAACAAGCACCTTAACACCATCCACCTCCCAACGCTATCATGACCCATGGTGATTAAAAATAACCCTTGTTAATTCTGCATTAAGCCGAGGCCCCCATAAGCTACAAGAGACAAAGTCCAAAACTCACGCACCAATAAGGAACCAAAAGGAAAAAGAATGGAAAAAAATTGAAACGTCAAGATCACGTCACCCTATTCTGTTTATGTGGTTGGGTGATCTGGAGGGGGTTGTTTCTGACAGGCTCACGCTGTAGCCCAGGCTGGCCTCGAACTCACAAGGATTCTCCGGCCCCAGTCGGCCGAGAACAGACATGCGCCAACACACTGGTCTTTATTCTTAAGAAAGTCACATGCCTTAACGTCTCAAGTGAACGTTCATGTCTAAATGTTTCTTTAATGAGTCTCTTAGGCAACGTTAAAAAAGAAAACAAAGAAGGCATTTACCAATTTCACAAACTAGGAGTCTGAATTGCTGCTTAGGTGTAACCTGAATTCTATTCATTTCCACTGCACACTCAGCACAACTTCCAGCTTTAATATTCCAGGAGTACACAAGAGTACTCGAGAAACTTCGGGAACCAGCTCTCGGGCTTTAATAACATTTTTTTAAGTCAGCAAAATACCATAAAACTTTAAACACTCCAAATAGCTTGTAAGCCATTGCTTTAAATAGCTTGTAAGTCGCTGCTCCCGTCAGAGCCAATTTCTGCGGTGCCATTTTCATACAAAGTCATACAAAATACGCGGCTCAAGTCACAGCGCGCCCCTCACGCCCGGAGCCTGCGAAGTTTTCGGACCGCCCGATCCGGGGACCCGAGTGCTGGAGCCCCACAACTTTGGGCGCGACGCGGGGTCCCGTCCGTCCCCAGCCGCCGTCCCGGGTCCCTGCCTTCGGGCCGGCGTCCCGCGGACGGGCGCGGCGGGACCAAGGCGGTTCCGGCCCGAGCGCCAGCCCTGAGGGGAGCCGCCCGGGAGCGCCCCGTTTCCCACAGACCCCAACATGGCGTCGGCCGCCGCCGCCCGGGCCAACACCTCCCCGCACCGCGGCCGGCCCGGGCCCGCGGGAGCAGGCGCCCGCAAACTTTCCTTCCCCCTCCGCAACCCGCCGCCGCCCTGCGCGCCCGACCGACCCCCGCGGCACCTACCCGGCCCGGCGCGGGCGGCGGCGCCGAGGCTGCGACTCGTCCTCGTCGCCGACTCCGGCCGCGGACTCTGCCTGTGCCCGGGCCCCAGCCTCGCAGGGTGTGTGGGGCCCCGCGAGGCCGGCGCGATCCGGGCGCGACGGGCGCAGACGCTCGCAGGTGACTTCACCGCCCCTCCTGTCGAAGCCGACAACGGCCGCCCGGCTGGCCTCCCTCCTGCGCGCGCACCGGCGCGCCCTCGCCCAAGCGCCAAACACGGGCACGAGCACATCCGCCCTGCCCTTTCTTCCCGGTTCCCTCGCCCCGCCCATCGCCTTGCCCCGCCCCTCCGTCCCCGCGCGACAGGCCCGAGGGGCGGGGCCTTGGGCGGAGACCACACCCACTGGGGGCCTCCCGGGGCGGGGTTGCGGGGCGCACTCGTCCGCTCCGAGTTGACGCGCGCAGAGGCGGGCTGGGGCAAGCCCGGGTCGCCTAACCTGACTTTCCTGACTCGCACCAGCCTTGGGAACGGCCGTTGAGCTGTTCGCGAAGTTCTCGGGAAGAATGGACGGAAGCCGCCTCCACGCCTCCCTAAGGAACAGGAAAGAAAGGCTTTGCCTCTCGCCACGCAAACGCGTCTGCCAGCCCCGCCAGGCTCGGCCGTGCTGCCGAGCACCTGCGATCGCGTTCTCCCAACGCCTACCCCCTCGAGCCGATCATCGGTCTGCGCTTACCGCGCTCTGGTCCCGCACACTTCCTTCCAACTGTATGCCTTAGAGCTCCGCTCTTCTCGAAACTTCCCTGGCCACGCTCGGCCTCCGCTGCCTGCTTCGCGTATCTAGAACCCCGCGCTAAGATACCGTTGGTGAGATGAGCTCCTCAGTCCCTGAGCACCGAGCGTTTGCTAGGCGCTGTGGAGGGGCAGAGGTATCTAAGCTGTGGGGTTACCATCTAAAGAATACCATTTAAACAGGGAGGGGTAGAAAATGGGTTAGAGTAAATTTTATTTCAGGGTTTTTGTTTTGTTTTTAGAACCTCTAGTTCAGCGTTTCTCAACTTGTGGGTCTCGCCCCCTTTGAGGTCGAATGACCCTTTCAAAGGAGTCACCTAAGACCAACGGAAAAAGATACTTATGTTACGATTCATAACAGCAGCAAAATTACAGTTGTAAAGTAGCAACAAAAATAATTTTACGGCCGGGGTCACCACACACGAGGAACTGTATTAAAGGGTCGCAGGGCAGTATTGGGAAGGTTGAGAACCACTGCTCTAGTTTTTGTTGAATGAGCGCGTCCACCAGCCACGCTACCCACGTAGCCTGGGTTAAAGTGGATGAGCAGGATTGGGTTCCTTATGTCTGGTTCTCCCCAGCCTCCCCTCTGCAACAAAATTAGCAAAGGAGACCAATTGTGATACTAGGGATAGTTACAGGATTTCAATCATGCACACACAATCTCCGTTGTGTTAGACTAAGCATGATCTGAGATTCCCTTTAAATTTGCAGATTAGGAACTGCTTTGTCTGTAGGGTTCATTCTAGAGCATTAAACACCAAACATTTTTGGTTGCTCATGTCATTCATAAAAATGTTGCTCTCCAGTTTGGCGTTGGTGACGCACGCCTTTAATCCCAGCACTCACGAGGCAGAGGCAGGTGGATCTCTGTGAGTTCAAGGCCAGCCTGGTCTACAGGGTGAGTTCCAGGACAACCTCCAAAACCACAGACAAACCCTGTCTCAAAAAACCAAAACAAAACAAGACAAATAATGACCTAAATATATGGAATGATATGTTTTCATCTCTCCGTCTGTGTATTCTCTTCCCTTCCTGAGATATGTGTGCTCCTCGGTTTTGAAAGCCATTTATTTAGAGTCCTGCTGGCAGAAATGATAACCACTGAGCTCATCTATTTATTAAGTTTTAAGATCTGTTCCTTGCCGACATAGCTCTGTTGCATGGTGCATAGCAAGCTGAACAATATGAGAGAGTGAAGTCCCCTAACCTGGCTCAGCCCTGACCCCAGTACCTGTTCACTGGTGAGAGAGAGCTGTCCCCCACCTCTGTTCTCAGCTGTGACAAGAGGATAAAAGTGGAACTACTGGATAGGCTGCCGTGGGGGAGGGGCGTAATAGACTATAGAAAATCTGGCAAAGTCTAACACATAGAAAAGCACGAAAATAGTAAAATTTGAGTTTCAATCCACTCAATTCTATAAGCCTGTAAGACAAAGTTCATCTCGTTTAATTGCCCAATCAAAAGATTTTTTGTTTTGTTTTTGGGGGGTACCTACTTTGGGAAAGAGAAGAGCTTGGTTAGCTGAGAACAACATTCAAGGGGAGATAGCAGATTCCTACATTTTTATTGTTCCTTAGTTTCCTTGTGTCTTTTCCCCATGGGTCTTGCTTTTTTTTTTTCCAGTCTTGATGTCACAGTAAAATAGCACCACATCCACAAACCTCATAAGTCATTGTCCTTCTGCTGCAATCCAACCTCTACATCTGAAATACAGAAGGATCTATCTTCAAAGAACTCCATCGTTTGCTCTGCGTTGGTACTCACCCATAATCGAAGCGCCTGGGAGGAGGAACCGGAGACTGGGAAGCCTACATCACTCTCAGCAGGGCACATCTAGTTGGATGTCAGCTTGGGATACATAAGACCCTGTCTCGGAAAACAAGGGCTGTGGGGATGGCACGGTCAAGAAAGAACATGAAGACTTGAGTTCAAACCCCAGCACCCACATAAAAAGCCGGGTATGGTGGTACACACCTGTAACCCTAGTGTTGGGCGGGTGGAGACAGGAGGATCCCTGGGGCTCACTGGCCAGACAGCCTAGCCTACATCCAGGTCCCAGTGAGGGGCATTCTGTTGGGCAGTTCCTGAGAAAGAATGGTGGTTCCAGAGACTGACCTCTGTCCCACAGTGCATAAAACTGAGTGCGGTAGTGTGTGCCTGGAATCCCAGCACGTGGGAAATGAAACCAGAGGGTCAGAGGTTGAAGGCCATCTACCCTCAGCTACAGAGCATTTGAGACCGCCTGAGATACATGAGTCTGTCTCTAATGTCACAAGACAATAAAAACCCCCAGTGGTGGTCAGATATTAGTGGGGAAGCAGAGATGAATAAATGGGTGGAGCAGGTAGGGAAAACACTGTATGATACTGCTATAACATGGAAACATGTTCTTTATACATTTCTCAAACCCCAAGGATATATAATAGCAAACTCTCTGGGGCTGGGAGAGTGCTTGCACAGCATGTACAAGGTAGTGGGTTGGATCCTCAAGTAGATATAAATTAATCTGTTCTAGCAGACATACAGCTCTGTTTCAGGACAGCTAAGGTTGGGAAGATGAGGAGGGTGTACATGGGAATTGTACTTTTCCCTCAAGAGTTGCTATGAACCAAAAACTGCTTTAAAGAAAAAAAAACATAAATCTATCCAAAAAGAAAAAAAGGCAAAAAATATTGCATATGTCTCTTGGAGATGTTGGGATTTAAGCTTAGAAATAATTTGAGATGCTTTTTGGCAGGCATTTAAGTGCATTTTGTGGAAGAGTTACTGTAAACTGCATCTCTAAGGCAACTGCTCTTTTTACCATCTGTCAAAAATCTCACCTTAGAATTTTTTAAATTGTATTTAAGTTTGAATAGAGATCCTTATTTATATTTTTAATTTATAGTTTCTTTTTCTTTTGAAACAAGCTAACTTCACCATGTCACCAAGGATGGCCTTGGATAGAGTAAGCAACATTGAAAGTACCTAAGGAGGACAGTTAACATCAATCTCCAGCCACCACACATGGGTGAAGAGACATGCTCACATACACACACACACACACACACACACTCATACACACACATGTACATACATGGGGGAACACACACATGTTCACATAGACACAGGCACAATTGTGGCTAGTTTTATTATAGAATATGGATCTTACTCAAATACTCTCAACACAAACATAACATCTGCTTCTGTAGTAAGTTTCTAAATTCTATACACATTATCATTGTCAGTAGAGGGAAATTTGCATTTATGTTGGGTGTGCTGGTGCATGCCTTTAATATCTGCACTGGGGAGGCAGAGGCAAGCAGATATCAGTGAGTAAATTCCAGGCCAGCCATGGCTACACAGGGAACCCTATCTTCAAAACAAACAAAGCAAAATTTAATTTATTAATAGTATGTGAGGCAGGCAATTATTGAATAACCTTTTCATGACTACTTCAAAATATATATCCATCAAAGAGCAGTCTTTAAAACTTGGCTCTCAGATAAATAAAATCCAATAGAATAATTAAATCCAAGAGAATCTTTTTTTTAATAGCATTTGGAGGAACACTGGCATCATTCATGTGTTCCTTTGTAAAGGGAAATTTTACAATTTCTTCTCAAGTAAAAACACAATCTAGGGGACAAAACAAAACTGTCTATGCTTTGGAGTCAATCAGAGCTGGTGAGATTGGTATTGTGTTATCAGAGTTATCAGGGGATAACTGTGCTGCTCCAGAGTTTCCAGATGTTTATAAAGTGAGGAGTATAAACTCCTCAGATACAAAGATCAAGAGACACAGGCACCTGGCAGATAATAGATGTTTTCAACAAACTAGCTGTGGCAGTAGCCACTGCAAATGTTTCTGCCATTAAAGTTACTAACAATATAAATTTTTACCAAATTTGTGACTGCACAGGAAATTGTTAAGCTTTGACATGTGTAATTCATAGGTCCTTGGTTCTTGCTCACTTCAGACAGGCTCCTGTGTATCTCAGAAGGATGACTTTGAACCGATCCTCCCTGTACCTCCCACATTCCTGGGTTATGGGATGTTCCACCATGCCCAGTTGATGTGGTTCTAGAGATCAAATCCAGGGCTTCCTCCAGGCTCTGAGCTCCATACTATGTATCCTTCAACCAATTCTTACTAAATTCTTAACTTCATAGTATGCCTTCTATCACTTCTTCACTTTATATTGAGAACACAGCCTGCTCACTAGCAGGAAAAACACTATTTAGACATGCCGTCTTTGGCTCACCTAATCCTATTAATACTTTACCTATTCCCCTGCTGGGTAAAGCATCCCCAACACCCTTCTCCAATCTGACTTCAATTAAATTCATCCACAACTTTCTTTCCTTTTCATCTCAAGCTCTGGGTACCAGGACAGGCAGGCATGACAAGAAGGAACAAGGCACTGGCTTTAGAAGAAGGACTAGCAGACTGCTCCAGAGAAAGGAGCACCCCCACCACAGAACAGTTTCCTTGCCCCCTTTGGTTAGGCCTCAGCTCATGAACATGTATATAATCATTAATTTTTGCAGTATGACTAGCTGCTTTCAGTGCTGAGGATGGAACTCAACATGTTTTTCACTGCATCAAGAATAGGAGTCTGGTCTAGCAGTATAGTTCAGTTGATAGAAAGCTCTGGGCTGCATCACATAAAAAAGCAGGTATAATAGGGCATGATTGTATGCCTGCACAGAAAGTGAAGGCAGAAGGACCAGAAGTTAAGGTCATCTTCAACTACATGGAAGTTTGAGTCTGTCCTCTGCTATAAGAGATCCTGTCTCAAAAAAAAATTGTCAGTTCTCCTCCCTTTGACTCTGGTACTAGTGACTTGCCTTGACCAACAAACAGAATATGGCATCCTTAATAGTCCAGAACATCCAAGAAGAAATGTCTATAAGACACTTTCTAAATTGCCCCTATTTGGGGCACCTGTGGTAGGAACGTAGCACACGTGCAATGAAAAGCCCAAGACACACACACACACACACACACACACACACACACACACACACACACACACACGTGCCCCTGTTGTAGCCTCCAGGGCACTCAGTAGATAGTCATCAATCCCAGCCTACTGGGGGAACCATTCGGAACTGTAGTTGAGCTGAGTCATGAGGAGATTGCCACTCTGGCTATCACCTGACTGCAACTGTGTTGGTGACCCAGAGAACTACTAACTGAACCCAGCCAGCCCTCACAGAACCACAAGACAGTAGCAAGCCGTGGTCTTCTTGGATTCATTTTGCTGGGAAGAGAGTGTACAACATGCCACGGCAAGCTAGTGGAGGTCCAAGGACAACTTGGTTCTTGCCTTGCACCTTGCTGAAACAGTCTCCCTTGTTCCTGCTGCTGTATTGCTTCTTCCAGGATAGCTGGCTGGTGAGTCGAAGGGCAGGAGCGCTGGGACTGTAGATGTGAGCTGCTACTTCTGGCTTTTTATTTGGATCCTGGGAACTAAACTTGGTTCATCCAGTTTGCATAGCTAGACTTTACCTGCTGAGCCACATTCTCAGCCCCAAGCTAAACCATGGGACCATCTGCTATACAGTAATCAGTGAGAAGAACATCTGGCTGTCCTCCAGGGCAGCTGACAGCCCCTTGATGACTCATGGATCCAGGCTTCTTACAGCTGTTCCTCACCGATATCTCTCTTTTTCTGTTCATTCAAAAAGTCTTAACTATCAGTGCCAGCACTGTGAGCAGACACATCAGTCACTTTCAATTCCTCAAAATACAGTGCTTTTACTACAAAATACATTTTAAGGTACTTTGCCATTTTTTAAATTGTTTATTACATTTTTTTAAAAATTTTATGTGCATTGGTGTTTTGCCTCATGTATGTGTGAGGATGCCAGATCCCCCTGGAGCTGGGTTTACAGATGGTTGTGAGATGATATGTGGGTATTGGGAATTGAACCCAGGTCCTCTGGAAGAGCAGCCAGTGCTCTTAACTGCTGAGCCATCTCTGCAGCCCCCTCAAAATACATGTATGCACCCCATAAATATATATCACGATGACCTAAGAGACATGTCCAGTGACTTCGGTGGTAGAGTAGTAAGCATATACAGCTTCCTGCAAAACACATGTCCAGCCGGGCAGTGGTGGCTCACGCCTTTAATCCCAGCACTCGGGAGGCAGAGGCAGGAGGATCTTTGTGAGTTCAAGACCAGCCTGGTCCACAAGAGCTAGTCCCAGGACAGCCTCCAAAACCACAAAGAAACAATACAGAGAAACCCTGTCTCGAAAAACAAAACAAACAAACAAACAAAAAAAGCATGTCCAGGTCGCATTCTCATGATCAAAAACCCAAACCACCACCTCCAGCTAAAGGCTGCCCCGGATCTCCTGCTGTCGACAGTGCCGTTCTTCTGGCATTCACTTGTAGTCATCTGTCACTTTATAGAGGATGTGCCTGGACAAAGAGACACTCTCCTCTGAGATCCAAGCTTCTGTTGGGTTGGGCAGCCTAGAAACAGCCGTGGGGCACATGAGGAGACCGGTAGGAGGATGCCATATGAACACCACGTGCCTTGCAGAGAAAAGCCCTTGTTGAGAAACAGGAAGCTGGGCTCTTAACTTCCTGCTGGGTTGTGTGGATGAGGAAGTGTGTGTTCCCGAGTGTGTGCAGCGGAGCTCTGACCAGTGTGGCTCAGGCAACATCAGCATCTAATAGATCAGTGGGAAGGGGGGGACGGAAAAATGGCTTCCTATGAGAAGTTCTCTCGTCTCCTTACCACATGCCAGGGAATGATAATCTGCCCACATTTAAAACACCTACCTCCCAGAAAACTGTTGAGTCTTCTCAGCCATACGGTTCATCTTTCTCGGGTTACTATAATTTCTTCCTTCCTTCCTTCCTTCCTTTTTTCTTTCTCTCTCTCTCTCTTTTTTTTTTTTTTTTTTTTTTTTTAGAGACAGGGTTTCTCTGTATTGTTTTGGAGGCTGTCCTGACACTCGCTCTGTAGACCAGGCTGGCCTCGAACTCACAGAGATCTGCCTGCCTCTGCCTCCCAGTGCTGGGGGATTAAAGACGTGTGCTACTACCGCCCAGCATGGGTTACCATAATTTCTTTCCTTCTCTCTTTCCTAAATAAGGTCTTTCTGCCCTCTTGGTGTTAAAAGTATTGACTTATTCAGGGCAAATTCTTTAAATTTCAGTGAGCTGGTCATGGTGACACACACTTGTATTCTGTGACATAGGAGGTTGAGGCAGAACAATCACAAATTTGAATTTGAGACTAGCCAAGGCATCTTAAGACCCTGCCTGTCTCCAGAAGAAGGCGGGGGGGGGAGAAGGGGA